TCAGGAACTCTCCACAGGAAAGCGGAGCAAAGCATCCTCTGAGGGGGATGATGGAACCAGTGTGGTTTTCATAACACTTACATTATGGTGCAGCTGATTTTTTCAAGTGCAATCTTAAATCAGAATGAACACTCTAGGGCCAACCGGATTAAGTTACCTGCCTGCATAATAGTGTACTTAGAATGAAGTCCAAACTCATTAGCATGGATTATAACACCCTCAGGATCAGGCACCTGCGAGGCATTCGGCATTTCTTCTTCCTTTGCTGCTTTCCTTCCACTTGTCCACAGACTGCCTGCCAGCCGCCCGCCCATCCACCCAAGATGTCGGGCCTGTTGTAGCTCTCCTCTTTTTCAAAGCATCCAAATAGGTTGTTCTGATTCATGTTTTCTCAATCCTGCAACCTCCAGCACCATTTAATTGCAAATCAGACTTTCCTCAGGGGAGCATCCCTACCAGTTTCAAGAGCTCCGCTGTACCATAGCCCCTTCCATGGTCATTATGATAATGTGTTTACTCTTCTGCCTCCCCCAGGAGACAGTGAGCATCTTCAGGGAAAAAGCCTTTTCCTTCCCCGTTTTTGGAGAAATAAGGCCCAGCGATGACTTTATGCCGTAACTGGTAGGCATGTAACTCTGCCTTGAATAGAATGTTAAACTGCCTTTCTTTTAAAGTTGATTGATTTCACACATTTCTGCTTGCTTATCTTTTATAAAGAAATGAGGAAGAACTCAGTTTTCCTTCCCCTAGCTGGTTCTCAAATATGATCAAAGTAGCCACACATGGTCATGATTAATTCAGCAGGCAAGCCTTTTTGAAAACTTAATGGAATGCTGTGCCATACTCTAGTAGACACTGCTTGAATAAATTCAATTTAATGTGCAAAATTTACTTTCTGTATCATTACAGGTGTAATGTGGCACAGATTAATCTTCCAAGCATTTTGGAAATTATGCCATTTCTAGTCAGTATCTCCAAAACCAAGAGAGAAAAGTAATTCACAATATTATCTTTTGCTAACTCACAAAATTTATCTATGAACAGTACTGAAAATTTTTTATACTTGTTTTAGTGGTCTCATTTTATAAAGAGTAATACAGTAAAGTAATGCTGATATACAAATCTGAAGGTCAAGAATATTTGGGAAAAATAAAACCTCACATGACGTCTAGCTGTAAAATTGTGCATCATCATTTATTGCCTTTAAACTGCTCTGTGTTGGGCCCAGCATGAGAGCCTAGTGGCTAAAGTTCTCACCTTGCATGCATCAGAATCCCTTATGGGTGCCAGTTCATATCCTGCTGCTCCACTTCCCATTTAGCTCCTTATACTTGGGGCCTGGGAAAGCAGTCAAGGACGGCTCAAAGCCTGCACCCGTGTAGGACACCTGAAAGAGGCTCCTGGCTCCTGGCTTCAGATTGGCTCAGCTCCAGGCATTGTGGCTACCTGGGAATTGAGCCAGAGGATGGAACATCTTTCCTCTGTATCTTCTTCTCTCTGTAAATGTGCCTTTCCAATAAAAATAAATAAATCTTAAAAAAATTGCTCTGTTAACCTAAAACCTGACTTAAGATTCAAATTTTAACACCTGTTCATAAAAGCCTAGTTATATTATTATCATTCAGTTGTCACTTACACATGTATTATCATCTTTGCAATATCTTATTCAAAAACTTCTTTGGGGGCTGTCCTGGGATAAACAAAAGTGTTGAGAGCAGCTATATCACTATGCCTAATAAAAAAGAATTCACCTGGGGAAGAAGCTCCTCAGGGCTGATATTCTAAAGGCTTTGGACACCACAGTAGGGACCTGGGCCTGAAGTTACTTTAACCTAACTGGTGCATTTAAAAACACACTAAGAAAGCCAGCATTGTTTTATTAAAGACTCAATACAATAATTAATGTTGAGAGCTACTGCAAAAAAGTATGGATGGACAATGCCAAAGAAATCAAAGGGCAGTCTGAGAGCCACAGTCTAATAAACAGATGAATGGAGGTGAGAGGATTTTTTGCAACTTTATAAAGAAAATGGTGAAAATATGGATATGGCTACCACAGATTGGGTGTCAGCAGAGATGCCACGATGACACTTACATGTCAGTATCCAGAGCCTGTGTATTTTCACAGTTTGTTTGACTCAAGAGTATATAAACTACTATGCTCACTATAAACTACAACTGGGTATATTAACAAGACTAGAATGTCACTCATTTATTGTAAATCCTTCCAAGACCCAAATCAGTGATATTGGGTACTGAGCTAGTTAGAATGTGTTTTGAAATAAATCAAGCCATATTTGATAGAAATAAGTTTTTTTAAAATTAAGCTTTAATTACTAAAATGACAGAATAGCAGATTAAGGCATTTATATGATGTAACAAAATGTGAAATTAAAATACTCATCTGCTGCTATGAATAATTTTAAGAATTTCAAATCCAAATGAGATTTTTAAACTTGGCTTTGAGGTCTGAATTTGGGCTTTAAAAATATGCATGGTGGGTGCTGTATCTGAGAGCCCCTGGGGCAGGGGACCTGGTAGAGCCCGAGTTGCCTATCCTGGACTCTTGGGCCCACCTGTGAGAACTGGTCCTCCTCAGTAGAAAAGATGGAGTAGAAGACAGCTGGCCTAGATCTACATAGAAGCCATTGTAGCCCATGGGAGCCTGCAGAAGACATCTCTTACCATGGCAATAGAAGAACAGAACAAATTAGACATCTACTCATGCCCAAGGACGACAGTAAACATCTGGGTGAATGAGGACTAGGTCAGCCAATGGTCATTGAAAGTGTTCCCTTATCCTTGGATTGGCGAGAACGACATTTCAGTACTATTGGAACCATCTGGGCAGAACCCACAGAGCATAAGCCACATCAAGACCGTGGGTTAATATCAGATGGCTGTTCCCCACCCCTGGGTGCTTGGGCAGGTGGGAACTAGATGTGGCTTCTCCCCTTGTCTCCCCCTCTCCCTATAGATATAGGAAAAAGAAATAGGAAACCTGGAAACAATGATCACACACCACAAAAACATCTTGCTTCAGTCTGGCTCAGCTGTGGGTGTTGCAGCCACTTGGGGAATGAACAAGTGAATGGAAGATCTCTCTTTTTGATTTTAAACAAATAAATAAGTCTATTTTAAAAAGGCAGTGATCTGCTGCCAACATGTATCCATTAAAGTCTTAGTTGAAACATGAAAATAGGATATCCAAATATTTCAGAGTTTGTACATACAATCTGAATCTTTCCATGATCTGTGATTACAGATCTGTACATGTTCAAGTACACTTGTGCATATTGCAAAGAGGAAAATAACTCATGTCTAAAGTACAGATTATGAAACACATTAGGACAAAGAAAAAAGGAAACTTGACCCAATAAAAAGCTCCTTCTCTTTCTCAGATAACCACCCCAACCATGGCCCTGTTCCCCAGGCAGTCTGGATGGCTCTGGGCATCGAACATGACCATCTTCATAGCTGTTGGATCAAAGATGGACCCTGGACACACGACCACACTATTAGGTGGCCTGTTGTGTAAAGACATTAGGCCAACCAAGTCATCCCAAGTGAGTGAATAAGGGACGAAGGAGTCAAAAGCTGGTGTGAAGGCTGTCAGGGAACATATACAGATGAGAGCGGGTGCGTTCAGGGTGGTATGGGCGTAGACAGGGGACATATACAGGAGCCAGGAGGAAGGGTCCCGCCTTTCAGGCACATGGCAGTCAGAAACCTCAGGAGGCAGAACCCAAGGAAGGCAGCAGTTACAGAGCAGAACAGGGAAGGGAAGGAGATGAAAGAAAGCAGAGGTAGATATCCCATGAGACAGGAAGGTGGAGAGCAGGACAGTCTCCTAGAATCGCCTGGTTTGCAAGAGTGCTCACAAACACAGCAAAACCCTTAAGATACTCTGAGTGTCTGTAGGTTGCTTTCCCACGGCTGGACCTTCATCGAACTAGTACTAGTGATCTTGGCCAAGGTTAACGAGAAACATACAGTACATGTTCTTAAAAAACTGCAGACAGCATGAGACTTTCTAAATGTGCTTGAAATTCCTGCAGAGAGCCAGAAATTGTGCCACTTACCATATGTACGCCAATTTTTTGGTTGTCAAGATTAAATCACACAAGTAGTATGTGGGAACCCAGCAAGTTGTCTATGTTTTAACCACTTTAACACAAATTTGAAAAACTCGAGTGGATATTAACCAACATGGCTGAAATTTTTTTTTTTTTAATATCAGAGTTCCTAACAGAACATGCTACCTTAAAATTTAGTGCTACTTTAGAAGGCCAGTATGAAAAAAGAGAAGCATTTATTTATATTCTCCAGCAAAGGCAGAATAATTTTTAAAAAGCTGTTACACCAGCAGAATAGAAACATTATCCAGGCTACTGCATTGATCTTAAACAATTAGGTCAAGTACATTAACAATTTTAAAATTTGGTTTGGTATCATACACTCTGGAGAACAGGTTACAAAATAGTAACTAAATGTACTTTCTAGCTTGGAGAAATGCTTGGTTTTGCAAATTTTTTTTCCAAATAGTTCCATAAAAATATATTGTAATTATATAATAATATTTTAATTATAACATTAGAATTCAGAAGATAGTGCATGTGAAATTCCATTTTTGGGTGTGTGTTGATATAACAGAAGGTATGCCTGTTTGGTCCCTGTTTTCACAATTCGACAAAAGATTGCAGTTGAGCAGCAATTCGTTGCTCTATTAAGGTGAATGTAAGGACACTCATGTTCCCTGCAAACCCCTGTGAGCATTTTAGTTTGTAACCTCTTCTCTAGAGATCAGAGACTTAAGAAATCTCACCAAGGCATCAACACATGCTATAAAAACAATTAAGGTACCAACATCAGCGCTGCTTTGCTTGATGAGGCTGACGACTAAGGTAACATGAACATTTTCAGACATTCTAGTCCCAGCTCTGTTTTGGATTTCGTGACAGGAATCCTCCCACCCTTCTCTTTCTCCAGGCTCCTCTTACCTTTCCTGTCTGGCTTGAGGTTCCTGTCTACTGGCGGTGGTTCACAGTCTGCCACGGGAACTGGCCTTCTGGGAGGGGTCTTTGGGCTGGACCTGAAGCCCATATGAGCAGGTGGAGGAACTTGCATTCCAAATGAAGAAAAATCAAATGTCCCTGGAGTCATTGGCACGTAATTCGCTTCCTGAATGGGTTCTGTAAAACTGCTGGAATGTTGTCGTGGCGGTGAGTTGGGATTCATTGGAACGTAATTTTCATCCAGTTCTTCACTTGATACACTTCCCACTACCATCACATTTTTGATTTTCTAAAATACACATTAACATCTGTCTTAATAAACAGAAACTACCATCATATGTGAAAACATAATCATTGAATCACATCTATTCAAAAGGGATCCACGGTTATTTTTACTTCGTGATTTCATCTAGTCTCAGGACACCGAGTACAAAGATGTTGACAATGACATGCACTCAAAGATGCCAAGGTCAATTATACTTACAAAGTGATTATGGAAGCCTTCAAGTGAGCTAGATCTATCACTTGGAAATGTTCGTGGGATATCATAGCAGTCTTGAGAACTAGCATCTAAAATAAAGAACAAACTATCATTTCTTCTCATCTTTATCAGATTTTGGGTAGGTAGGAATGAGCCAGGTTACCAGTCTCTACAACACACACATAGATATGCACGCATGCATACACAGAGATTTGAAATATCTCAAATTAGCATATGAAATCACTAAAAAACAGACACATAAATGCTAACCAATGCCCACGACAGTATCTGATTATTGAGGATTGCCTAAGTCTGGGATGAGTTGGGTTATAACTAAAGATAGCAAAGAAAACAGCACTTTTTGGTTTCCTCTTATTTTAAACATTTTTGTTTCTTTATTTGAAAGCAATGAGAGAAAGAGAATGAATCACCTGTTGGTTTACTCCCTGCATGCCTGCAGCAGCCAGGACTGGGTGAAGCTGTAGCCAGGAGCCTGGAACTCATACATGTAGCAGAAACCAGAGTACTTGAGTTATTATTTACTGCCTCCAGTGTGTGCATTCATAGGAAACTGGAATGGATGTTAGAGCTAGGACTTGAATCCAGGTGTTTCAATATGGGAGGCTGGCATGCTAAATGATGGCTTAATCACTGTGACAAATGCCCACCCCTATTTTCTCATCTTCTAAGCCACCTTCATCCTTATTTATGTCTCACTACCTTACAGCTAGCTTATACAGTAACCTTGAAAAGGGGTTTAGAAATTGGTACTGAATGTGTGAGTACAAAGGCACTAAAATAGGAACTATGCTTGATACACTAAATATCTACCTTTCTTTAAGATGGTTGGAAAACCATCACAAAATACATAAAGTTTAGCCCAGAGCTTTTAGGGCATGTGTGTTAAAAACACTGGTTTTCCATTTTTATGCATTTCTAGAATCTGAGAATAATCTACACTCATTTTTTTCTCCTTTCAAAGCTTGTGACCTTTGGTCAGCAGGCTGTAGGTCAGGCGGCAGTAAAGGGTTATACTCGCTAGAGCAGGACGTGAAACAGCCAGTGATAACAGGAGAGAAGATTCAGTACTTCAAAAATAAACAAAAAACCCACTAACAAAATGCATAAGGGCATGACTGGTACAAAGTCTCACCTGTTAGACACTATGTAAAATTTGGTTGTATAAAAAGGAAGGAAATAGGACCTGACAGATGTGACACAAAAGTAGCCATAATAGTACACACATATAGGAAAGGGTATGAGTTGGAGCTGCTTTCTGGCTGGGCTACTCCCTACTGCTCTGCCACAAGGGAGGGCCTGCACACCCAGGACACAGAAAAAGTGGGAGAGATAGGTACAGGCATCCTAAGGGAGCAAGGCATCATGAAGGCTGTCCGCTTCTGGAATGATAAAGTACAAACTTGCTGAACCTTCTAGCAGAGTACACATGGGTACACGCACACACACACACACACACACGCATTCCCGTCCTGTGACCTACTGAGACTCTGTATCTCTGCTATAAGAGTGGCTAACTCTACAACTGAAGGAAAAAGATATAATCATACTATATATATATATATAATCATACTATATATATATATATATATATATAAAGCAGATATTTAGAAAAGCCAGGCTTTCTTTCATTGACCTCTAGCAGAGTGGAAGCCAAACACAGCTGACCTTTTCGCAATTTGTTCAGCTCCACAGTGGAAATGGTATTACTACGCGATGGCGGCACCCCTGCTGTAGGGATGCAGTAGCTACTATCGGTGTCGGAAGTCGTGCGTGGGAGGCCAGACGTTTCCACAGGAGATCTGTCATGAGCTGGATGCGGCTTCGGTGGCCGAGGTGGTGGGATATCAGGAATAGTGTCTAGCTTAGATGTCTGTCCCAAGGTGCCATCAGGAAATGTTCGTGGAACCTGGTAAGTATTTCCAGGTGTTGGAGGAATGTCATAGCTGATGGAGACATGCCTCATTTGAGCTTCTATACTTGATGTCCCAGATGGGGTATTAAAAACATAGAGTTCTCCATCTGCTTCAGTACTTGAGGGAGATGCCTTTGGTAGCACATCATGAGAGTAACTCCTGGGCAGGTTGTAAAGGTTGGGGTCTATGGACACAGAAGCAGCCCGTGATGGGGGAGAGTCATACAGCATTTGCTGCTGGAAAAAGCCATTCACTCCATGTTTGCTCTGGGAGGAGGGTAGATTTTTGTGAGAAGGGACGTTATCATTGCAGTCTGTTTCAGAAGAGGTGGATTTTGCAGAGTCGGCATGTGTTCTAAATAAAAATTGTTAGTAAACAAGAAAAAACATGGTGAAGATGAGAATCATATAGCTTTGACAAACAAACATATGTAGTTTTGCAATCAAATAAATGGCATTTCTCATTGGATTTTTTGGCATGATCCATAAGATTTAAAGCAAAAAATATCTTTAGCCTTTTATGATTATGTATCAGACAATAAAACCACCACCACTAACCCACCAAAAGCATAACCTTAATTCTTGTCCTGTATCTGCTTGCAACCACCAGGATCCCCAATAAAAGTCACACATAAAACCGCAACCCCGGAAGCACTGGAATCAGACATCACAAAACTCCGAGGAAGGTGAATAATTAAGGGATAGGCATAAAGAAGCGCATCTCCTTGGAGAACATGCAAAGATCTAGTATAGTACAATTTACAAAGCTGATCCACTGCTTTTGAACCTGCCAGTGGCAAATTTGTTGTCCTGTGAAACTACAAGTCCAGTGATGACCTGGATATGAATAAATTCAACGTGACCCACAGTGTGGGGGCAACTGAACAGGTTTCATCTATTCTCTCTTTTACTAATATTGTTATCAAATATTTAGCCAACACTGTAAACAGGTTCCGAGAGTTAACCACCTTCAAACGACACTCAACCTGAAGGAATCCCATGAGAGTGTATTTTAGGCTTTGGACACATGTGTGGTCTCTGCACTTGGAGTTTTCACCTGTAGTATAAGCCAAGATGAACAATAAAACACACTCTCATTTTCTCAATACTAACAAAGACACCCGAAACATTCACAGATGTTGTCCCAAGTTCCACAGCACTTTAAGCAATATATATTATTTAAGTAACTTGGGATGGTTTTTTTGAAAGGCTCAATTGTCTTGACTTTACAGTAATACCTGGCCCTGGTTGGTCCAGCTCACTAAAACTCTCTTCTCTAGTGTGTGAAAAAACCCATACTGTGCTATTTGGATGTTCCTTCTTTCTCACTGATGATTTTCTTGCTTCACTGGCTCCTCCTTCTGCCTCCCATCCTGGGAAGAGCCCTGAGAGTTCCTTGCTCTAACCCTTTCCTCCAAGTGCCCCTAAAGAAGAATCCTCTTATTCTGCAACATCACCTCCTTCGAACACAAACTCCCATCTTCCTATAAAATTTGGAGTCCTGTATTTCCAAGCTGGTATTACTGTTTGTTAATCCCAGTATTTGCTCATATGCCCAAGACTAAATTCAGTTACCCTTTTTCATTGGCATTACTCTGATTTACCCAGATTCTTTGGGCTCAAAACCCAGTGATCAGCACCGGAGCCCTGCCCTCTGCCAGCATCCACTGCTCCACTTGTTTTCACTGCCACTGCTGAACTTTGAGCCTGTGACTGCCGCAATCTACATTTCTGAGCTCTCCTAGCTGAACTTTCCTCTAGTTTCTCCCTTTCCCAGTCTACCCATGGGAACACAGTTCTACACTTCCTTAAACCAATATTTTCAAACCGTAGATCACTTACTGCTTTCTATAGATTGCCAGAACTGTAAGCACAACTAATAACTTGGCTTACCTCTCCTTAGTAGAGCCCTGGCCTCTACACGCTATCCTCATCTTCCTCCCACCGTATTTTGCTCATCCCCTCTTCCCCCTCAAATTACCAATGACATCCTTCCTTCATCTACCAGGTATACGTCTAGTCTAAATCTTACTCTTCTGATGAAGTTTCTTTTTTTCCCCCATCTTAAAAGCACGAGTACTCTCCCTTTGAGGAATTTCTAATGTACCCACGCATATTCCAACATTTACACTTCATTTACTTCAAATGCAGGCACTAAGCGAAACTAAGGTATAATGAGTAACAAGTTTCCTGCTGTGACTAGCTTAGTGGTGAACAAGTAAAAATAGCAAACTATTTCTAATACTGTGATAAAACAGAGATAGGGAGGCACAATTAGGGTGCTATACAAATGTACTCTGACGTTTATTCCAAGCCATGAGTTAGGGGGAATGCATCCCAGAAGAGCACGTGTCTGAACCGAGTCTTGCAGAATGAACAGTTGGTAAGGTGGCTCTCATGTGTCATTTTCTGAATGTGTCACATACTGAATGTTGTGACTTGTTAACAAGTCTTCTTTGTCATCTTCAAAGGCACTTCTGTCTAACGGGACTGTATCTTACGTAATTATTTTGTACCTTGATAGCGCCAAACATAATAGCAGGCACATAGTGAGTAGTACCTCACAAATATTTGTGATTTAACTGTCACTTTTGCAAAATGTATCTGAGTGATGATTTTGCTCAAAATTTCTACTGTATCAAGAAAGACGTGATCCAACTGAAATCAAAGAAGAACGCTACATAAAAGAAAATGTGCCGAAAACTGCCACTTAGCTCTTGGCATTTCACAGTTGATACTGAAAGATAATTGTGAATCTCCCTAACATAAAAAGTTAGTAGCACAGGTAACAAAATTGCAAGTGTGTAATTTTAAAAATTCACAGCAAACAAGCACAATCAAGTTAGAATTTGATAGCATTAACTAGTGTTGATTTATTTTAAATATTTCTTTTTTTCTTAAAAGTAAAATCCCATTACAACAAATATTCAGAATCCCATCTTTGGAACTTTTCTAAGTTGTTTCCAATCATCACCTCGCAGAATGGCTCATAGAAACCACTTTGTGGATAAAAACAATTTCTATGCAAAAAAAAAAAATTTAAAGTGCTTTCTTTGATGGTACAGAATAGTCACTTTTTACATCAAAAATGACTTTTCCAGAAAAGCATAGCTTTAATATCTAATGACTCTGTTTGAAAAACACCTTGTTTATCTACTTCTCTATGACTTACCCCACTTTTTTTATTGTAAAAAACACACCCAATGAATCATATCAGTAATTGTCACACAGCTATTAAAAGCAGAAATTAGTCTGATGAGTATTGCTTCCTTGCTGTGTCCCAAAAATGCCTTCTTTTTATGGGAAAGGCTGAGAGACAGGAATCTCCCATCTGCTGGTTCACTCAACACAGGTGCTTGCAACAGCAGGGACTTGGCCAGGCTGAAGCAAAGGGTTAAGAATTCTGAGTCTCCCACATCGGTGAGGGTGGTAGGGTCCTAGCTAACTGAGCTATCACTGTTGCCTTTGAAGATGCAGGGTGGGAAGTCTGAATCAGAAGTGGAGGCAGGACTTGAATCTAGGCACACTGATTTGGGATGGAAACATCCCAAGAGCAGTCTCAACTGCTTTACCAAATGCTTGCATCACTGATTTTTGTTAAGTAGTAAGCAAACACACCTGCTCTCAAATTCCCTGTCAGTCTGAGCCTTATGCAACATCAAATGGCAAAGCTGACCAGACTAAAATACCTTATGGTTTTTTAGAAGAGGAGAAGGGTGTGGGGGCTAGGCTTTGAGTAATGCTTCATGAATGACCCTTTGGGTAAGCCCTGAAAAGCCACATATTTAGTTCAATCTAGAAAGCAGTCAAGTCAAAGCCAGCAGTAAGCTCTGCTTCATCTCAGTTTCATGAATTTATTTGAGTTCATCAAAATCTACTAAAGCCCCATTTATCCATTATTCCATAAAATTTGCTATATTGGGATTTTACCTGTATGATTAATTTCTCACACAAATCCAAACCAATCAACACACTCACTGCAATGGAATCGTTTTGCTCTCAAAATCTTCTAGCAGTAGGTATTCCTCTCCTTCTTCAGAAACAAAAGATGACCCTTGGCTGGTTTACAATCACATAAGAAATGGAGCAAGATCACCATTTATAAATCAGTGAAGTCTGTTAAGCAAGTCACACTGTGAATCTGTAACAAAGACTACGGCATCAACAGACAGCTTTCCAGAAGAGCCCTGTAGGCACAACTGTCTTTGCCCTAGACAGCAAACACTGGGTTTCTTCAACAAAAATCTGAATATTGGTACTCATTAACACAATAATCCAAGCATCTTATGGCGCTCAAACATATATCAAGACACCTGTATAAATGGTTCATGAAAGCCTTCACGTTAAGGGTAAACAGGTTAGAAGGTCGGTATGCACACACAATTTACCTGGTGGGTTCAGGCTTCTTGCTTTGACAGTTGATTAGCAAGAGGTAGTCTTGGGGATCCTCCTGGATGCCAAGAGTTTCCGCATGTGGTGGCGGAAGGCTGATGAGCTGATAGGAAGGAGGTAGAGTGGAGGAGGAGTCCATCTGGGAGGAGGGTGGTGCTGTGTTTATAGGTAAGGGCAAATCAGCTTGTGCTTGCAAGGAGCTACCAGGTGGCTTCACAGGATCTGCAACACCAACGTTTGACAGACACTTTTAATTTGTAAAACAAAGCTACTTTAAAGTATGGAGACAAACTTTTTGAACACACTAAAGCAGAATCGTCCATAAAAAATGTCAGTTTAAACAAGTACTTTCTAAATGGTAACATTTATACAGGAAATAACTGGTTCTTGTCCAGAAGATTTAAGGGTAGGAGGCCTTCTCCATCCCAGAAGCTCTTCAGAAGTCATGGCTAGCCTGGTCTGAGCAGGTTTTAGTTTTGAGTCTACTGGAATGAAGGTGTTGTGTGGATTTAGGAGGACAGGTACATTTTTCTATGATAAAGTGCTTCCTAGGCCACGTCTGAGGAGTACATAGAAGCCACTTGTAAATACAACTTGTGCAACACACTGGCTGCCTTCTGATCCTTGTGCTTTTCCTGCTTGCTCCCAGGCAGCATATATTTTTCTACTTCTCTCAGTCCCACAAGGATCTACTCTAAGTCACTATTTAATCTGTGGCATTTGAAATTCCCTAACTAAATCTCTAAATATTTTGAGCTGAATGAAAACAACAAAACATTTACTTCATGGTGTATGCTTTATACACCATTTTATAATCAATATCTGATAAATGTGATTACAGCTATCACAAGTCAACACTGAAATTATGGCATTATGTTAAAGAAATATATGAAAATCCACTTTTCTTACCTCTCATACCCAAGAATGAATGAATTAACTCTTGGCATAAGTGGTTACATTTTGCTAGGGGTGCCTTATGAAGAGTTGACAACACACGGAATGAAGTGACAAAAATTCAGAAACAAGCTCAGCTGCTATTTTCTCAAACTAAAAGTAGTTTTCAATTAATTAGCATCTGACAAAGCACACAAAATTTTGAGGCGCAAAGCCCAAACTGTACATGCAGGTGAACAATTCTTACAGATTTTGACTCCTTGTTTAGTTTTCTCTAAAACCCACTCAGAGAAAGTGCTTAGTGAGTTGATGGCTCATGAATGCAACCTTTTTTCCCCACCACCTACCACATGTAAGGCCATCAGAACAGGTGTTCTGATCCTTGTCTGTTACAGGGACCCACCGAGATGTATTGCTATTTCTAAAAAGCCTTATAGTAATCCAACATCACAGGATATATAATCTATGCCTGTGAATAAGAGCTGTAAATTGAGCTAAGTGAAATTTGCCATGGTGTGTACATAAATATTGTTAAATACATAACTATATCCAAAGCATGTGGGCTTTATTCTAAGAACCCAAACAAACTAGAATTGCCATTTGGCCTCGTTCTCTGGGGATGAAATATTTAAATATTCTCCAGAAAGACATACAGAGAAAGACTTAAGAACAGACAAAGTGGAATGGAGAAAGTAAGCTAGTGCTCTTCCACGCACTGGTCCGTTCCCCAAAAGCCTGCGACAGCTGGAGTTGGACTAGGCCAAAGTCAGGAATGGGGAACTCAATCCATGTCTCTCACACGGATGGTAGACAGAAATACTTGAGCCAACATCTGCTGGCTCTCAGGGCATGTATTAGCAGGGGCCAGAATCAGAGGCAGAGCTGAGACATATTCCAGGCACTCTGATAAGGCATTTGGGCATCCGAACTGCTGCATGAAATGCCCATCCACTGGCTCTGGTAATGTAACAAGCAAAGAAACTTGCATTTGAATCTTAGCTGGAATATATATAGATCTCTCAAAAAGTTAATAGGAAATGGGATCAAAAGATAAGTTGACTGTGGTGCAAAACATTGTGAAATCTCTGCATAGTTTTTCCATTCATACACATTCCCATGAATATTTGGGAAGGTGTTTCACATAGTCAGCTGGGTATATTTGCACAAATATTCCACTGTGTTTATTCTCCAACACAAAATTTCTGGTCAAACAAACAAGTGGCTTAAAAAACAAATTACAGTTCTACCTTGGCACGATTTGTGAGTTTCCTCTATTCTGCAAGTATTGGAACAGACTGTTTTGCTTTCCACCTTGTGTGAGCTTCTGACTTTCTGTTCCTTTAAGTATTGTTGATATTATTTCTAAGAGCCAAACATTGGTGTAGAGTTTGCTTATGTGTATAAAAGTATTCCTAAGCTCTTAATTCAGAAGGTATAAGGAGTATAATTAACACCCATTAAAGACAGATCTTTAATAAGTGGTGCTAGAGCAAATTTCTAATTGAAATTTACCCGAAAATCTAATAAGTATCGCCAAGGAAAACCTTTCAGCAAACAAGCTTCCAGAGTAGATATTTGATAAGAGCCACAAACGGTAAACTGATCTAGATGATCCCTAACCTGACACACTGACTTATACTATTTAGCACTCAAAAACCGGGCATTAGTGTCCCTCACAGAAGTTGGGGTACCTAGAAAATGCCTTTCAACACTCACAACCATCACTTTGAGGATAAATGATAAGGCCCAAGGCCTAGAATACGATGCTGTTCTTTCGTAAGATATAGTATAGTATCATTATGAAGGTGACAGGTTATTCAGAACTGTAACCATCAACCTAGTATATCTAAGAGCACAATGACAGTATCATGGGGTTGCCCACTGTTATTAGCAGAAGACTGAAGAAGACTACCTCTGTTGCTAAGAATGTATTTGGTGTTTATTGTAAATCACTTTTATAACAGTCTTCTTAAAAGGCTGCAAACACATTCCTGTAGACTTTAAAATAAATTCTCAGCTAATGCTGACAAGTGCCATAATTCTTATCCAGAGGTGTGATGACATTAGAATCACTTGAGTAGTTTTTGAGAAACATGGGTGCCTAACGAACCAAGATCTTCAAGGAAATAGCTTGAAGGTGTGTAATAAAACACAAAGGAAAAAACAAACCCACTCAGTAGTTGAATTGGTCCTCAGAAAAACTGCAAATCAAAGCTACTGGATATCACCAAACATACACATTATAGTGTCTAAAATTAGTCACTGCCACGACCAGATAATGAAAATGTGAGTGGAGTAAATATATAGGGTTGGCAAGAAAATAACTGGAACAATGATCTTAGAAAACTAAATCTACAAAAGTTATATATACATGCATCTTACACCTTGGTAATTCCACTCTTATGTACACCCCAAAGAATTAAGTATTTATGTCCATCAAAAGACACAAACGAGAATGCTTACCATAGCTTTACCTGCAGAAGGGTGCTTCAAAAGTTCTTGGAAAGTGAATATTAAGGGGAAAAAACACCTGTTTCATATTGGAAAATAGGGATCCCAGACTGAATGTTTCAATTTCTATTCAGTTTGTGAATAGGCAAAACAAGTTATGGTAATCAAAGCACACAAAAGAAAAAGGCTACATTTGGATGGGGGTTTTCCTGGAGAGAGTCCTCAGAAAATCTCGAAGGAGAACACAAATGTGGTATTTCTTAACCTGAGGGGGAGTTAATAGATGTTGTGTATTTATGCACTTCCTTGTTATTATATTTCGCAAGAAAAAAAAGCGCCCCTGATTAAAGAAAAACTGCTTTAAGGAAAGGAAATATATGTATACCCTGACATGCCAATTTACTCTTGTATAAAAGGAAAGAATATAAAGCTGGAGATTTTTTTTTAATGAAGGCACTAAAATCTGGGAATTTGGAGAAAAGCAAGCAGGAGGCAACTTTCTACTCTTACATCTTGAATCTAGACTGGTCCTTTACATGTAGCTGGTGAGCCTCATGCAGGGCACTGCTTCCCACCGCTTGTTCAGCAGATGGAATCGCTTCCACCTTGGTGCTGCAGAAACAAAAATAAATCTGCACATTTCCAAGAAAAACAAAAGAAATTGGTTTCTCTCCTCTCCTCTGCGAAAGGAAAGCATTCATAGGAACCACACACACAGCTCAATGAGCTCAAATTTAAAAACAGACAGAGCTTGCCAGCATTCTGAGTATTCAATAATAGCAGCAGTCACCTGGGGCAGCGGAAATAACATGGGAACGATATTTTGAGAGGTTCCTGGAATCAAAACACAGGTCAGATTTTTCCCCCTTCCTTTTGTTTTCAGGGGAAAATTAGTTATTCTCACAGGGACTAGGGATACTTATTTTCTCAGACTGTGTTATCCCAGCACAGTTTATTTCTTCCCATTCTGAGCTGAAATTTAAGTGTAGTGGAAAAAATAATCATCTCATATTAGTCAATTTCAGCCAAGAATGGGAGCACATTCAGCTCTCTTGAGATGAGAAGAGCACAGCGTTCAGGGAACAGGTACAGGTGAAAACAAAAACAACTATTAAGTGATTGGTGGTGAGGTCTATGCAGGAACAAGACAATATAAAACAGATGGTAAAGTTAGCAGAGGAGTTAAAGATGGTGTGACACTTACTTTGTGACTGTTAATGTTATGACTATGATTACAAAAGGTAACTGTGGCTGTCTGCTGTTTACAGTTTAAAACACATCTTTACATGAGCAAATTTGGCTTTTTTCCACCCCAAAATGCTTTTCAAAGTCAGCCACTACAAATGCCTAAGGAAGTAGAGGGGCTGCCTTTTAAGTTTTATTTTTCAGGTTTGCCTTCTTGTCTCAAAAATTAAAGCCGCAGAATGTAGTAAAATAACTTTTGGCTACAGGGTGCTACCTATTAGAACTGTGAATGTTTCACTGATTTATTCCAAGGAACTCAATATATATTCTAATATAGTATATGAAGACATTGCTAACTGTGACTGGCGAGATAGCTAGGTTGAAGTTGCAAAAAGCTAAATTATGGAATGTTAAAAAATGAATGCAGTTGCATTTAGATAAATTTTATGAACTAAATGTAGAAAGTATTGGCAAATTAAATCCTTTGGGGCTTATTATAATGAGTGGATATCAATGATTCATAAATAGCATAGCTATTTTCTTGGTAACTGATTCATATACTATACGTGTCAAATTTGATTATTATACTATAAATTTTATTTTTTTTGCAGCATCCATTCACACACCCTGACACTGTAAAATAAGTATACAAATAAAGAGCTTCACTCAACTCAAATATGCTGCATAATACAGTCCATTTTATAAGAACTTGGGAGTTCTCCTCTAAGATGAGCACTGCAACTTTTAAGTCACCTCCTATATCGGTAGAAGGTTTGTAATGTAAAATCACACATTCATTGAGACTGAAAGAACCTGCCTTTTAAAATCAATGATAATGTTCTGCTAAGCACAATATCTAGGTAAACATGTGAACACATATATTCTCACAGATGACCTGTATAGTGGACACTAGCACACACTGTAAGTAGAGATACATTGGAGTATGCATCTCTACTCCTGAACAAAAGGACTCCCAATGAAACTGTTAAATATAGCTTGACAATTTGATACTACATATTCCATCATTGCCTACACTTACAATGCCATGATACACTTAAACATTGGACATGTGACTGTTGCTGAAGGACCATATTATTGTAATAACAGAGGTAAAAATGGTGGTGGTGGTGGTGAGAATGGAGAGGGAGAAAGAGGAGGTGAAGGGGGAATCCCTATAGCTACAGAACCGTATCATGGAAAATATAACAATAAAAATGCAAAAAAAAAATTAAAATAATGTTCTCATTATAGTAAGAACCTTTTGAAACTACCTACATTTTTTTTCATACTCTTAAAATTAAACCAGGCATTGCTGCTATTTGTGATCACCTATTTTTTGTTTTAATGACAGAGCACTTGTTAACTGGTGTTATAATTGTGGGTTGTGAGCTCTGTGAGAATGAGAACTGTATTCACACATTTCCACACTATTATTCTTTCTCTCTACATATACACACGTTAACACACATTATATATGTATCTATGCACACATATATGCAGTTGCACTCAGCAAGTTCCATGAATTATTTTAGTTTCTTACATGAATCTTGTCCCACTACAGGCTCAGTTCCAGAGAGAGGGAAGGGACGACCTGGTTCCCCTGGGGCTGGAGATGGGCTGATGATGAACTCACATTTTTACCCTTTACCTCTCTTATACACATTCATGAGTGAATGCCCAGAGCCAAGCAGAATATGAGAAAATTCATGCAGGTAGATGAGCTCGTGAATCAGTTTCCTGCCACAAGCCCTGCCTTTCTTCTTTCCTGAGAGCACTGTGGGTACTCATCAAGCTCCAGGACGCCAATGCTCGTTGGTGGTCAAACAGAATAGACTCAGAGCTGTAACACCTGCGATGTTGATCTCACATTCTGGAACACTGGAAATTCCAATGGGAGTGGGGTCTTCTCAACTCCATTACCCAATCAAATGCGGTTTCAAGAATTCAGTAATTTGACTGAACAACATATATCTTCCAAGATAATTCATTTCCTTTGTTAAATACAGTTAGGATGATTATATTTTTTTTAAAAACCACAGATCTACTTATCCCTTCAGAATATATCAGTATAAGTAACCAATGGAGACAGGAGCCTGACCTTTGTGTTCAAAACAAATTCTAAACTGGTAAGGTTGGGTCACGTGCTGCGGTACAGTAAGTCAAGCTGTTGCTTGTGGTACTGCATCCCATATGGGAGCTCATTCATGTCTGGTTGTCCCAGTTCTGATCTAGCTCCCTGATAACAGCCTGGGAAAGTGGAAGAAGATGCTTGGGCACTTGTACCCACACGGGAGACCAAGAAGAAGCTCTTGGTTTTGGACTGGCAAAGCTCCAACCTTTAGCTGGAAGCTCTCTCAGTCTCTCTCTCTATTTTTTTTAGTATATGTGCTGATGAAGTAAGCACATGCTCTCTCTTTTCATAACTGCCTTTCAAATACACAAGTGAGTTAATGAGTGAAAGGCAAAACAACAAGAGCAGCAATAGAGCGACAATCTATTTTAACTGAATGACACAATGAAACCAATGTGGTGCTGAAATGTGACAATCATCCTTACTAACTAGTTGCTAAATAACTGGTTAAAAAAAAAAAGGACAGTCACCTCATCTGTGACTATAAAACCCTGTGCTGCAGTCACAGACCATCTGTGGTGCAAACAGGAAAGGAAGAGTTTAACCAAAGTTAGAGTCCGCCTATGAACAACTTTCTGAATTTTGAAATCATAAGGGCTTTGCAGAGGGGCTTGCTAGTTCATCATCAGCCCATCCCCAATGCCAGGGGAACTAGGTCATCCCTTTCCTCTCTCTGCTACTCCCATGGGCTTTCAAGACCCTCTCACTACGGGTTTCCTCTGCTACCCCACTGGGTCAGCCACAGCCCAGGTCAGGCTGCCTTTCTCCAGGGCCGTCAGGTGGTCAGAAGGCAAGCAGCAGGATGACCAGGGCTCATGCCACCAAGCCAAATCTCAACACTGATTATTGATACAACTGCTGCAGCCTTCAGCGACTCTCCAGCAGCACAACCTAAATGCACACATCAGAACATGTGTATTCCTACTTGGGAAGACAGTGGTCTCCCCTTAGACAGGTTTGTTATTCAGTCAAACACTATCTGAGGGGCCAGTGTGGTGGCACAGCAAGTTAAGCTACTGCCCGGGACACCTGCACTCCACATGAGAGTACAGATTTGATTCCCCAGCTGCTTTGCTCTGATCCAGCTCCCTGCAAAGGTCCCTGGGAAGGCAATGGAAGACAGCTCAGGTACTTGTTCCCTTGTACCCAGATGGAAGAGCTGGTTTAGCTCTTGGCATGGGCTTAGCCTAGCCCCAGCTGTGTGGCCATTTGGGGAGTGAACCAGTAGGCGGAAAATACCTTTCTCTTCCCCCGTAACTGCTTCTCAAATAAGTAAGTAGATATTTCATAAAACAGAAAATCCCAGAAGTAAGCAATTCTTAATTTTTTAAAAGATTTATTTTTTTGAAATGCAAATTTTACAGAAAGGAAAGAGAGAGCGATTGATTGATTGATTATTTTCCACTGCAGGGTCATCCCCCAAATGGCAACCAATGGTCAGAGGTGGGCCAAATGGAAGCTTGGAGCTTCTTTTGGATCTCCCATCTGAGAGCAAAGGCCCAAGGACTTTGGCTATCCTCTGCTGCTTTCTCAGGTCATATTCAGGAAGCTGAATCAGAAGTGGAACAGATGGAACACAAACCAGTACCATATGGGATGCTGGTACTACAGGTGGAGGATTAGCTTGAAACACCACTGCTTTAGCTCCACAATTCTTGAGATTTAAGTTCTGTGTCAGTCTGTTTGGTGGGTGGGGAAGGGAACTGAATCATCCTGTCTGGTGTGCTTGTGCTTTATAGCGTGCTCACCTGTTGGTCACTCAATAGCCACTGGTGCCAGATTGACTGCTGTGTCACAGGTCTCAAGGTCAAGTAACCCTTACTTTGCTTACTAATGGTCCCCAGACATAACAGAATAGATGCTGGCAGTTTTATTTTATATGCCATAGTTGTTTACTGGTTGCTACTGCTAATCTCTCATCATGCCTAATTCACTAATTAAACTACCACCAGTAGGCATGTATCTAAGAAAATGAGTATATATGAATTGGTAGCATCCCTAATTTCAGGCATCCACTGGATAGATCCTGGTACAAACTGCTTGTGGATAAGGGCAAATGATTGTCTTACCACAAAAACAATAAGGAGTTCACTGAGTTCACTGTTACTTCTGATGCTTAGCTCTATGTACCTAAATTTGTATTGGTTTCTGAGTAATTAAAGAGGAGGAGGAGAAGCAGGAGGCCAGCGCAACAGCTCTATTGGCTAATTTCCCACTTCCAAGTGCTGGTATCCCACATGGATGCTGGTTCGTGTTCTAGCTGCTGCATTTCTGATTCATTTCTCTGCTTGTGGCCTGAGAAAGCAGTGGAGAATGGCCCAAAGCCTTGGGACCCTGTACCCACATGGGAGACCTAGAAGAAGCTCCTGACTTCTGCCTTCAGATTGGCTCAGGTCTGGATGTTGTGGCCATCTGGAGAGTGAATCAGTGGATGGAAGATCTTTCTGTCTCTCCTTCTCTCTGCAAATCTGCTTTTCCAATGAGAATAAATACAAGAAGAAGGAGCAGAAGGAGGAGAAAGAGAAGGAGGAAGATGAGGAGGAGTAGAGGAAGAGGAAGAAGTAAACACAGAAGATGACAGGGAGAAAACAGTACAGAAAAACACCAGACGATCATCCCTCTTCCAGGCTACTTTCAGAATTTGTGCTGAGAAAACTATTTGTTAGGTATTTTTTCCATTGTGGTTTGTAATTGAGTCTCATTAGCTTTTGTAGGAGTATTGATAATCACTTTGGTTATTCTATAATTTCATAATGTAATGTAGTTTTTTAAAGAATAAGACCTAAGTAATTCCGTGGAGCCACATAAAATGTTGTTTTGGCAGGCTGAAATAGTCAAATTATCAGCAGTGTTAGTTTTCTTAATACTTGCCTTGGAATTCAATTAACTCATTTTTAAAGGTTTCCTTATTGTTTGAAAGTCAGAGTTGCAAAGAAAGGAATAGACTCAGAGACAGAGACTTGAGAGAGAGAAAGAGAGAATCTTTCATCTGTAGGTTCATCTTCCACAATCTTACAATGGCCAGGGCTGGGCCAGGATGAACCAAAGAACTTCATCCAGGTTTTCCACATGGGTATAGCAGCCCAAACACTTGGAGCTATCTTCCACTGTGGCCCCTGGCCACCAACAGAGAGCAGCTGGGACATGAAATGGGATGCTGGTGTCGCAAGCAACAGCTTTATCCCCTGTACCACAATATTGGTCCCTAAATAAGCTGTCAATCGTGTTTTCTTGCCATCTTCTTCCTCAGGACAGTAATTCAGACATTGTCCCACCCTTACTAAGTTTCTCCCTCTAGATTCTGTGAAGTTTCTTCCCAAATGGATTAGAGGGCTTAGTGCTTTTTCCAAATGCCACATTCCTGCTATGAAACAAAACATTATATTGTACAACCTAATTGATACCAAATAATCATATGGCCTTTATCAAAATAAAGGGATAAAATCCTGCACTTACCTTCTTCTGTAGGATTAAACCCACAGATGTCACAAATGCAACGAACCCACTTATTCATTTCCTCCTCACTGTCTGCTACCAAGTAGAAAATCCGGTCAATAGTGTTGATATCGAAAATGTAGCTGTTTTCAAACTCTTTCTTATTAAATGTCAATCCAGCATCCACTTGCTGACATAAATTTAAATCAATAATACGAATAGGCTTCTTGGCATGATCATTTTTGTAATATTCCAACACATCAGGATCTCCAGTTAAACGGCCACTGCGTAACACGAACCACCTTCTCTTCCATGCCTAATAACAAAAACAAAAAATAAAATAGCCAGTTAGTATTCAGAATAAATTTTCACTAAGCATAAATGCATCAATCAAAATGGTTTTTTTTTTGCTTTGTTTCCATAGGATAATCTGCCACTTTGAAAAATTGAGTCTAGCCAGGACTCAGTTAACTTAGTAACGTACATATATTTAGTATCTTATATTAAATCTCCTGCTAATATAATATCAAATCAACAAACCAAAGAAAGGTTGGATTTTATCAAATATAAAGAGTCATAGTTTTAAATAAAAGGGCACAGTCAGTTACACAGAGATAAGGAGAGATAGAGAGGAATATTTCCATCCGATGATTCACTCCCCAAGTAGCCGCAAAGGTCAGAGCTGAGCTGATCTGAAGCCAGGAGCTAGGAACCTCCTCCAGGTCTTCCACAGGGATGCAGGGTCCCAAAGCATTGGGCCATCCTTGACTGTTTTCCCAAGCCACAGGCAGGGAGCTGGATGGGAATCCATTAGAATCGGTACCTGTATGGGATCCCGGTACGCCCAAAATGAGGACTTTAGCCACTACGCCACCACACCATGGCTCCCAAAAGTCATACTTTTTAACAAACAGTGTAAGAAAGATTGGATATCACATGCCAAAGCATTAAGTTGGATATTATGCCAAGAAGCCAGATGCAAAAGGACCAATGATGCACACATCCCCTAAAACAGGAGGGACTCTGGGAAAGAGAGCAGAAGGGCGTTTGCCAAGGAGTGTGCGAAAGGACAAAAGCAGAATCAGTGGCTAGTAGGCCTAGAGTTCATACCAGACAGTTGCAAAAGTTCATGAGACGGATGGTGCCGATCCACATGACAGCAGGAAGGTACTTAATAACACTAACTTTGCATACACAAAAACTAATTAAAATGTTACATTTTACACCATCTATATTTTAGCATAATTTTTATAAAAGGTAATAGTTTTGCATGCCTTGCTATTATGTCCTGAAGACTGTATATAGAGCTGCTTCTTCATAAACATTCTATCACTTCTAAGCTATAAGTTCCTCTTGTGCTTAGGTGTGGGGGCAAGGAGCATTGAGGGGAGAAATGGATTAGAACTTTCTGGCTTCTCACATGAGAAGCAAGCAATGCACTGTTTTCTTTCTTTGGCCGGACAGATTGTTGTACATCTGTATTCCTGAGTATGGAATATAACACTTGCTTGTTCTGTCTTCCTTTTCCCAAAACCATATTTTGGCAATCTGGAGCTACATTCACTAAACACCACCTCCAAAGTTTTGGTAAATTTGACTGTGTAGTACTGTGCCTTAAGAAAACTAAAATTCTTTTACTATCTTTCTCCTTAAAGTCTGTATTCATCAAACAAAAGCAGAACTAAATGATTTGAACAAAATCATGCCTTGCTCCTTCTTTAAGTTCTTCTCCAGGAACAGTCAGCTGTATGGAACGAAGACCTGTTTTTAGCAAGAGCTGCCTACTAGGAGAAATTTCACACTTGAGTCTGAGCATGCAAAGTAGGAGACATTGAGCACTGCAGATAGAACATGCAAGGTAAGTTCACCCAAAGATGTTACTCTGGGGAATGGAAGGATTGAGCTAAAGGGTATCTCATGACCCCAGTGGAATCAAACATTCTTCCCAGGCACTGTCCACATCTAATCACCTGGAGGTTGTGGCTGAGTATCGGTCATGACATCTCTAATCCTTCCACTATGGAAAAATATAACCAGAAATAATATCAATTCTTCCTTGTGAAATAATGTCTCTCTCTTGTTATGAAAACTGGGATGACAGCTCTGATATTGATAGTATATTCACATCAATACATGGGTTTGGTGCTGTACGGGCAGCCTAATGCAATTAAGAATGTTAATGTTACTTACTAATGTTAACCTAAGCCAATTTCCCCAAATGTTGTTTCGATATTTTAACATATATACTTATATATATATGTATATATATAAATACATAGTTTATTTAATACATCTACTAAATTTAGAATCACCAAAATCACCATTGTGACACAACAGGGTCATAAAGAATATGACTTACATAAATTTACACTGGTTTCTGGATTCTAAAAATCCAGAATGTGGGGGTCAGCATTGTGGCATAGTGGGTTAAAGCTGCCACCTGCAACCCACTATCTCATATGAATGCTGGCTTTGGTCCTGGCTGCTCTACTTCAATCCATCTCTGCAAATACAACTGGGAAAGCAGCAGAAGACCACCCAAGTCTTTGGGCCTGTGTACCCACATGAGAAGGCTAGATGAAGATTTTGCCTTTTGATTTGAGCCTGGCCTAGCAATGTTAGTTGCTATCATTTGGGGAGTGGACCAGTAGATGGAAGATCTTTCTATCTTTCACTTTCAAAAATTAGTAAGTTTAAAAAGCTCCAGAATACATTTAATATGTATTTTTTTCCTTAAAAATAAGTACCATTTCTTGGTAAAACTACCTCTTTCACAGATGTTTGCTTATTAAGCAATAAATTTGAAAAAGCAATGGAGAAGTCAAAGAAAAAAAGAATACAGTATTAGTGATTTCTCCAGGCCATTACAAAATTGCACCTTTTAATAACTTTTCTAGATAAGTGAGAGCTCCATCTTTGAACACAAAAATGACTTTTAAAAACTTTAATTTCTTGTGGGGGAAACTTTCTAAAATGCCTTATTACATAATTCATTGAACATAATCCACTCATTTCCCAATGATTCAGGCTAAGTGTTACAGGCACCACCTCCTAAACCACTCTTTAATGAGGCGCTCAGGGGCTGCAGAGCTGGATGGGGCATTATGTGCCCCTGTCTCTCTGCTGTGCTTAGATAGTTCATCTATGATCTTTGAAATATGGATTTCTGGTGTTGCTATCATGCAGATTTTGCTAATTGTCACCTGTCTCTTCAGACAATACCATTTGCAGTGGGCTGAATTCTTCCTGCTCTGGGGACTCTGCATATGCTAGTCCCATTATGTGACACATGCCACAAACATTTTGCACTTTCCCCCAGCTTTTGCCTAGATAGCTCCAATCACTAGGCTTTTGCTCCCTAATTACTTCAACTCAGCCACTTGTTACATAAAGTAGGGGCTCTGTTGGCAATGTTGTGATTTTTCTAATTCTGTAATTCAATGTTTCTTTGTATGTATTTGTTTGGCATCTAATGCTTTGAACTAGATCGACAGCCCAAGAAGACAGTGAGTATTTGCCATTACACACTCAGTACAAGGCACAGCATCTTGCACTCAAAAATATTTGTACAACAATTAAATACACCTCTAAGAGTATAAAGTTATAAGTTTTGTAATTTGTAAGTTTTATGTACTGCATAAACAGGAGTACTTTCCAAAACGTTTTTATTTAAAAAAAAAAAGCTCCGACACTAAACATACACACTATACACAATGAAACTCGCACACATCAAACACCTCAGGAAAATGACAAAAACAGAAAGAGTGGTATATGCCCTTTTGCTATGGCTTCGGTGTCACACTTTGTGTTCTGGGTTCCTGTGGCTTCTTCTAGCCATTCCTTTGCCTCCTTGTTGAAATCACATTGCTAACATTCAAAATTCCCTTAGAAACAAAAACAGCTAAGTGAGTGGCCATGAATCGAGGTGCACTGGATAGCCGGGACCAGCAATTATAGGCTGAGTAGACTTTATATGAGACGTGAACCCTTACAGCAGGAAATGACAGCATGAAAATACAGACTTTCGCCAAGTAGCACCTGCCACTTATTTATTTATTTTTAACGTGGTCCAAATGTGAATGTTTGTCTCAGTCAGAAAATGAGTCACTCTCATTGAATCTGGCACAGATTAAAATGGAAAACAAAAGCAATTACATAAACTACACACTCTAATAAGGCAGATACAAAGGTTCTCTGGATTATGGTACAAAGCACAATTTAGCCACAGAATAAAGCTTGATGCTTGACAAGAGAACTGACATCAGCACTCTTGGTAATCATAGCACAAAAGCTTCTCTATGTTTTGTCGGAGCACAAAATGGGCCCATATAAATCAGTCTTTGTTATCTGAAAATATCTCAGATTCTTAAAGTTTGTCCTATTTTTATCCTTGCTGCCTTGGTAGCCCCAGAGAAAGCTTGCCAATCCCTGTAGAACAGTAACAAAAAGGGACAAGTTTTCTAGAACTCCTTCAAAAGCAAATACTCAAAACAATTTCATAAAAATTCATGTGAGAAACCACTTCAACTATTTGGCTTCCATCACAAGCAGGTAACGAGGATGAAATTTGCAAAGATTTTTTTGAATAACTGAGAAGCAATAAGGAAAAACTTATTTTGTTGTCGTGTTTTATATCCAATCTAAGTCACTTCATTTTAACTTGAACAGATGATGTAGCAGCACGACTTCATCAACAAACCTTCGCTGTGAAGTAATTTCAAAGAACCAGTACCCAATTCCTATGCTCGGGGATTTTCTATTTCCTACATACAAGGCTTCAGGTCCTCCAACAAGCTCCTATCTGCTGTCTCTAAATTTTCAAACCTTGTTGTTATCTCTTTGCCTTCTAACTACATGAGACATGCTTGTCATCCCCTTCAACACCATGCTCTGTCCCACTACTGCACCTGATGCATGTTGCCCTCAGGGCATAGGATCCAGACTACGGATTTCACTCAAACCCTTCCAGCCAGCCACCACTCTTGAGATGGTTCGGAACTCTTAAAGTTTCTACCTTGCTCCCAGTTACATGACTGGCATCCCCACTTAGTAATTTCTTGAGAACTGGAGTCAGGTTGTTATTTTATTTTATTTTTAAATTTTCATCTTTGTTTTCTTGCTACCTAACCTCCATCTATGTCTGTTGAACATGCACTCAAAACCTCATTTAGGCAAGGACAGAGTAAAACAAGTTCTCAGGGTCGGCATCTTTGTGTACTACGCTAATCATCTGCCTGTGGCACCAACACCCCATTTTGGCACTGGTTCTTGTTCTGGATGCACCACTTTCGATCTAGCTCCCTGCTTATGGCCTGG